ATTAAATCTATAATGTCATATTTTATTTGAATTTATTTCAAATTCAAATTATACAACTGATATGATATCCTCTCAAATAATATTAGTTATTAAATTTAATTTATCATATAAAACTAAATTTAAAACTAACACAATACTATAATATATATATATATATATCAAATACACACACAATATATATATATATATTTTGAAAAATATATATATATATAATATTATATTTTGAATTTTATATTTCATTTATATATATATATGAATATTTATCAGATAAATATTCAAATACTTGCATACATACATACATACATATGTGTATATATATATATATATATATAATTTGTTCACCCTAGACTAACCATTACATTCATTTAATCTAGAAATATTTTAGATTCAATGAATTTGGACATTATAGCTTATGATAGGCTGTTTTTGTATGCAGTCCTATAGGTTTCTATAAAGTTAGCAGTAGGCCAATAACGTTACTAGCCCACAAGTCACAAGTGGCCTCTAACAAAACATTGGGACTACCCAATTCATATAAGGATTGATGATCTAATGTAACCATTATATAACTGTATCACATCCCTTTTGTCACGTGATATTTTAGTCAAGTGTGAGACAGATTGTCATTCTCCTTTACCTGACTACTACTTTCTCAATTTTTGAGTGGACTGACTATAACAATGAAAAAACCCTATCCATTATAGTATGGCCATATATTTTTCTCAGATTTATTCATTGAGGGGCCTAACAATATCTCTCAATTAATATGAGGGATAAATTCTATCTTGACCGCTTATATTTCTCTGCTTGAATAGTACTAAACTCAATCATAGCTTTTATGATACCTAGTTAAAAGTGACTTTTAATAAGATCAAAGTTCAGTGGTCATCATGTAGGAATTCATGATAATCTTAGGTCAAAAGGCTTAATAACATGGTTGCATATGAGATAAGTTTATGACTTGTACTATGCAGCTTTCTCATAGTGAGTTTGTCCAACACCTTGTATCTTTTCAAGTGCTTACGACTTTGATTTATATCTCTATAATTAATCAAAGTCATACTAGTCTTGTTTCATCTATGATCCCTCATAAATGATCGACCAGGGACGTTTAGGACAATTACTATAGTTTATACAATGATATAATTATTATAGTAAACATGCAATTAATATGATAACAAAAGAGAAATTCATTAAATAACAATGTTCATAATACAATTATTGGCCCTAGGCACAATTTCCAACATCTTCCTACTTGTGCACTAGGTATAATCATTAATTTGTCTAATTCCCATTATCCTGACATGGTGCTCATGCTTTGCCTTTGTGTAATGTTCACTTTTACATTATTAAGACAACACACTTACATGCTGTTATAATAATTAGGATTAAATAGAATCCCAAGTAAAATTTATCACAACTTAAGAGTTTAAAAGGTAATTAGTTTAAAACAATGGGATCCCAAGAAAACCCTTTTTAAAATATTGTTTGAGCTCAAACTATAGTTTAAAATCAATCAAATATGATAACAGAAGCATGAAAATCAAATAGCACTTAAAAAACAAGCTAATAAAATGGAAATTTTTCAAAATTTGACCATCCGCCACAGCGCAGGCCATACTTGTCATTGTAGATGGCATAGAGGGATGAAGCCCTTAGTGAGCATTTATGCCATAGCACAACTGCTATGCATCACGATGCATACCTACTGTCATGACAACACTCCGAACTTTTAGAGCACGCTGTTTCACCATTTGATGTCAGATTTGAGCCGTTCAAGTGTCTACATAAAGCTTTTCAATCCCTCTAGCCAATAGAACCAGACTCAAATAATGATTTGTTAAAAAGAGTGAAACCCAAACCAAAATGGTTTGTTTTCACCTTAAAACACTTTCAAAGGAGTCCAAAACACACTACCAAATGCCATTAGCTCCAAAATCACTTTCACCACCTTAAATGGACCACACACAATATGACAAGTTAATCATATCACATAAATAAGCATTCATACTCAAAATGACCATCAAAACCTCAATACACAAACAACACAGTGGGGTGGATAAAACTGAAACAAAATCATTTTGGTCATTTTGACACATGAATCATTACAATTATATCACTTGTACAAGTATCTTGGCTGAACACACTCATTTAATCACAATAACATCAATCTTAGGCCAAAATACACACACTTCATATATTCTTGTACAAGTGATAACGAAATCATGAAATGCTCCTAAGTTGGCATTATAATATAGCATATTTGTTACAAACCCAAAAAAGAGCAAAAGGAAGAGCTATACAACAATACTCTTCACTCTTTAGTCACCCCTTCCTTCCCTTGCCCCTTATCGGAGCCCTCACCTGTAAAATATAACTACGGAGTGAGATTAATATCTCAATAATAGAATAATTCACTATTATTCATTAACATGCACAATCATATGGGAGTAAGGCTATTAAGCATTAAAATATACTTTTAGGATATTATAACATAACATTTTCTATAGTAAATGTATATTGCCACTGAAGCAAATTTGATAATTACTTTCCATAAACACAAGTTATTTACCACTAGCATGATCATTCTACCATTCGAGCCTTCATATCACACTAACTGATACCATAGGCTCTTGAACCAAGTGCACATTCATAATAGTTTGAGCTCACCTTTAGTGGTAGGATACCCAACCAAAGGTGTCTTATCCCACTTTCAAAGTATGGTCTCCTCCTATCACACACGAATTGGGGTGTCATTATTCTAATGCTAAGGAGCGTCCCTCTCCAACACCGTATCCTGCAGGATACTAAGGAGAATTTCTCTAATGTCGTGTCTCACTAGGCACTAAGGAGATAAAGGCCATATAGATTTCTACTACTCCTTTTTATGGGTGAACTCCCACCCATTAACATGATCATGATCATGCTCACACTCATCATATATAACACATATATCTTTCAAATTTTTCAACCAGTCCATATAAAACTTTTATCATTTCTATTATTGCAAATCATTTAACATGCATAAAGTTCACATTTTATAATATGCAAGGTTATCAAATCTCAAGTACAAATTAGCATATCTACTCATAAATAGTTAAGTAATATAATCAAATAATATAAATTACGCCATTACCTCAACCCTTTGTCACAAAAGGGTTACCATGGCTTGATGTTAACTCTCCACATTTTATATGCATGATAAAGCTCGAGTAACACTCAATCTACACAATCAAGTGACAATTGTCAATTATCACTTTGAATAAACCTTGAATTAAATAGGTTCTAAGTACCCACAACACTTAAATTCCTTATCTAACAATATCAACCCTTTTAAAAAACTCTAACCATCCCAACACACCAAAATCATCATCCAATTCCCCACATTATCTCAAAACCACATTATCTCAAAACCTTCAAATTATGCCTAAGGTTCATCCAAACCCTCAGCAAAAATTCCAAATCACTATAAAAATCATAAACATAAGGTTAAAGGCTTGATTTAACTTTACAAGACCTTAAATAAGTCAATAGGTTCGTCCATTAGCTAATAACAACTGAAAAAAAGCCCCATAATGCCTCTTAAGTAAGAAATTTTGCATAAAAAGGGAGGAAAGGGAATGTGAAACTTACCTAATAATGATTCAATCTCCAAATGCATCCAAAATGGTTTAGACATCGTGCCCTAGTAGATACAGGTTATTTCTCATTGCCTCCTCGCTATTATCTTTATCCTACTTTTGATTTCAAGTCTGTTTTCATGATTTGATAAGTGCAAATTTTGCACGTGTGCTATGGTGCATTGGCATATCTGCCGTGATGCATGGTACAGAGAGTCCCACCATAATTTAAACTTTCTTTTGTGCCATGGCCTGCTCAAAAATTGACCTAGCCTTCTTGTAAGGTTATCTAAGGATTCAAAAACTATATTAATCTCCCATAGACATTATTAATCAATAATTTATCTAAATTGACCAAAAGTACTTTTAAAAACACTGAAATTCCTAATTTGAAAATTTAGGATGTTACACTATGCAAGAGGCTTTATAAGAGGATCAGAAACATTGTCTTCTCCTACTATTTTGCATATTTTTATATCACCTTTATCATTGATCTCTCTAATAAGGTAAAAGTGCCTGAGTATAAACTTAGTCTTTTGGTGTGACCTTAGCTCCTTAGTCTGTTCAATTGCATCGCTATTATCACATAACAAGTTTATTAGATATAAGATACTAGGCACCACTCCAAGTCCAGTAATGAATCTTTGTGAGTAGCACCATTACTTATGCTTGTCTCACCAAGATAACCTAGATGCATCTACTTTGGGGGAACTTACATTTGATCGATCTAGATTTTGATGAGTATTCATTAATTGATGGCATTATGACTCTAGATTTTGATTAGAGGGCTTAATTGATCAATTTAGCCATTGTGTAAAATAAAATGCAGTTGTATCTCATACAGAATTATGCATATTATGATTTACATCAAAAGCATAATTAAACATGATAAAATATAACTCACTTAACCTATGTCCTCTTAAGCCAATGAGAGGACCTCTCTGAAAAAATAAATTACACAAAGAAACCTCATTTAAATATATGAGGGGATTGAGATTAGAAGAGAATGTGCACTCAAAGTTTATAGAGATAGGTACGACATGCATGCCATTTTTAAAATTTATAACTCTCGTAAAACTAGAGCCATATATGTCATAATGTAACATCCTAAAAATTTTAAGACTCAAATTTATTTAAAAAAATAAATAAAAATAAAATAAAATATCTATAATTAAATTAAAATTTAGAATAATTTAATAGAGGCCCAGAGTTTGAATTTTACTAAGCAAAAGTTTGGTTTTATTTGATTTTTAACTATGGGAAAAATTACCAAAGTTGACCCGGGCTTTTGTGCAATAATAAAAAATGTTGGGCCCTTTCTTGTAATTTTCCCCAAACTTTTTGACCAGCAATTTAAAGACCCAAATTGATGCAGAAACGCAGAAATTGAATTGGAAAGGAAAGGAAAGGAAACGTATGAGAGGGAGAGAGGAAGAAGAGAAGAGAAAGGGAGGGAGTTAGGCTTGGATTTAGGAGTCTTTGCGACCGTTGCGAGCTCGGCTACACGATAGGTAAACTCCCTACTTCAATCCTCTTCTCTTTCTCTTGATTTTCTTCAATTTTTGGAAGAGAAAATTTTTGGATTTTGATCCCAAAGGCTTTATTCTTGTAAGCTTTTGTTTCTTTGGATTCTAGGGAGCATGTTTTGAGTTTCTATATAGTGATCTAATGTTTTGAGTGAATAATTGGATGAAAAGAGGTGTTTTGGGCACAAAATAAACCTTGAGAAATTGGGTTTTTGCTCCTCAATGGTTTAAGCCTATTGATTTAGTTATAATTTTGCTATTTGAGCCCAATAAGATTTAAATTAAGGTTTGGTTTTCATTATAAGGGCTAATGGTGAAAGTTGGTGACACTAAGTGAAGGTTTTTAATTGATAAAAAATTATATAAATTGAAAATTAGCCTAGTGATGGCTAATAAATGGTTTTGGTGGTTAAGTGATACTATGTGAATGGTTGGTTTAATATATGGACCATTAGGGTGATTATGACTCATTGACCTAAGTTGTGTGGTATGAGTTATAGTCTTCATTAATGCTATTTGTCATGATAAGTGATGTGGATCACTTATATGTTGTAGAAAATTGTTGGTGGAACTTATTGAGAAGTAAGGAACAAGCCGAGCCCTATTTTGTACAAGGAGAACCCTTTTAGTACCAAAGGGTTGAGGTAACAGGGGAATTTATATTTCTTATTACTTTGTTTTAGCTATTTTTGAATAAATATTACTAGTTATCATGCATTACATGTTTTAAAAGATTAAATGTGCTTTATAAGGGGTTATGGGGTACTACTTTGATTATAGTGCAAATATGTTTTCTAATTGTTTAATAACAATGTTTTTATGGAAATGAGATTTATAAATATTATACTACTTTAGAGTGTTGAATGGTCAATACTCAGGAAAGGTAGACAAGAGTAAAAGGCATGATCTCGGTGGGAGTTCACCAATGAGAAGGTGTGGATTTTTGATATTCTATGGCACACTGTCAGTACTCAGTGTTGTCTTACGTATTGTGGGCTCAGTGCACTAAAGTGGTTAGTGTATTGAGTGTTCGACACCTCTCAGTGGGGGAGGGAATCCAACATATGAAGTGTGAGGTTGAGTGCCTAGGCCAAGGTAGCCCTCACATGGAAAGTAAGTTGGGCTGGCTCTGGGAGGGAGTTAGCTTCAACTGCTTAGGATTCACGTCGAAGGGGCATAGGAGGTTCGGTGGATTAGATCATGCCTTAGATTATGTTTTGTGCCTGTGGAGGTACAAGTAGGTATAAGGTTTACCTGCGAGTTAAAGAGTGCCAGGGGGCATTCTGTTGGTCATGAAAGGCCATACCGGCCTAGGTCATGCATTCATGCATTTTAAATGGCTAAATTATATACTATGTTGAATTTATTATTCATTTATTTGATTATGGCTTACTTTGTAATAATCAATATAGATTTCACTGTTACTGAGACTGTGGTTGTCTCACCCCTTTCTTTTCAATATTCTAGGTCCAGGCGAAGGATCCAGTGGTGGACGGGGAAAAGAGCAAAGCTAGGGGTTTGCTTGTGATTTGTAAAGAACTGCAACCCCTTTCTTTTGAGCAAATATATTGTAATGTATTTAAGATTAGGGTGCCAGTAGGATATGATTATGTATGTGTGTGTGAATATGTGTGGATTGTGTGCTTGTGTATGAATTTTTGTCTGTTTGCAGACTTGTGGCTAGGAAACTTGGTTATGGTGTGTGGTTTTGATGGATTTACTTAGTAGACCAAGTTTCTATTACAAGCAGATCTTTATTTTGATATATATGTGATTTTATAAGCAAATGCAAAGTGGTTGCATTGCAAATGGTGTGCTATGGGCAAACATACACCTTGGATAGAGAGAGTGGGTGCGTGGGCCCCACAAGGAGCTCTGAGCCAAGTGAAAATGTTTAGCATATATATTTATATAAATACATGGTATTTGGATTGATTTGTGACCACTCTTGTATGATTTGTGCATTTTGGGGGTTTAGGGTCCATTTTGGGAAATGGCACCCGGGTGGTCAAATTTTGATGTATGGGTTTTTCCATCATTTGAATGTTCTATCAGGTGTTTTTAATCTTATTTGACGTGTCCAAAGTGTTCCCACAGGTTTGTGACCATTAGGATGAGATTTGGACAATTTTGAAAATGGTTTTTACCAAAAAGCTGCACTTTTGCATCCGGGTGTCCAAATCTTAATCCGACCGTTGGATTTCTCTAAAATTTGGGTCACAAGTAAAACCTTTTATAAGCTTCGTGTGGGCTTTGAAATCACGTCGATCGGATATCGGACGGAGAAATGACGCACTTCGGAATTTGGTCTGGAGGTGCTGTCATGACAGCATTAAATTGCTGTCATGACAGCTACAGTGTTGAGTTGTAACCTGCAAAATTCAATCCGTCCGTTGGATCTTTTCAAAATTTAGTATGCTAATAGTATTCTTTAAAAGTGACATGTGGGCTTTGGAATCACTCCGATCGGAGGTCAGATGATGAAATGGTGCACCCGGAAGTTGGTCCGGAGGTGCTGTCATGACAGCTTTTTAGCTGTCATGACAGCAAAAATAGTCAATCTTTTAACATGTCTAATTTTTAATCCGACCGTTGGATCTTTTGAAATTTGGTACACTTATAGTACCCTTTGAATGTGACGTGTGAGCTTTAAAATCACTTCAATCGGAGGTCGAATGACGGAACAGCGCCTCCTGGAAGTTGGCCCAGGAGGGCTGTCATGACAGCAATAAATTACTGTCATGACAGCATCTTTTTATTCCATTTTGTCTAACTTGCTTCCGTGCGCTATAGGTAGAACCTATAATTATTTTTAAGGTTTTAAATGATTTATTTCTTAAGTTGGTTAGAGGATCAACTCCTTAACCACACTTAGTTTGTTTGAATTATGTGATTTTTGGATAACACTCAAGGCAAGTGTTACATTTGGTATCAGTTTTAGGTTTATGATTCCTTTTTCCTACTTGGCACCTTAAATACATTACTTTTATGCTCTTTCCCTTCTACCACTAACCTGGACTAATATGGTTTTTCTTTCTCTGGCTTGTTCCTTTAGGAGGGGAGAAAGGTCCGTACGCTTGTGGCCGTACACCTTTCAGTTCTAATATGGCTCGAAGGGGAAGGGGTAGATCGAGGAATGAGGAACGACCACCACCTCTACCTCCTCCGCCTCTACCTCCGCCTCCACCTCCACCACCACCACAGGGGACAGATGCAGTCATGGCTAGGCTGCTTGAAGTTATGGTGGATATACAGCAAAATCTTAGAAGTCATACTGTTCCAGATCAGCATGTTGACCTAAGTGCTGGGCAGGGATCTTCTAGTACTATGGGAGCTCATGCACCAGTTGTTAATAATCGAGAGGATGACATATCTGAACCTTGGAAGGAATTCTCTCGCTCTAATCCGACTACATATGATGGTAGTATGCTTGATGGGAAAGCTGAGGAGTGGTTGGATCGGATGGAGCAGTTATTTACTGTTGTGAGGTGTACATCTGAGCAGAAGGTTATCTTGGCTACGATGCAGCTTGTTGGTGAAGCCAAGCATTGGTGGGATTCTGTTAAGCCCACAGATGGAAGATCTATGTCTTGGGATGAATTTAAAGAAAGATTTTATGATTTTTCACTTTCCGCCAGCTTTCAGAGATGAGAAAGAGGCAGAGTTTCATGCATTTCAGCAGGGGGACTTAGACGAGGAGACTTTTATAAGAAAATTCAATCAGCTGTCTAAGTTCTCAACATATCTGAAGGCTTCTAATGATAGCAAGTGGAAAGCAAAGAGGTTATTAGAAAAGATGAGGCCAGAATACCGCCAGCAGCTATCTTTGTTAGGCGAGGCGACATATGATGAGATGTGCAATCGTCTGAGGATTGCCGCTCGTCGAGGCCGAGACACAGAGAGTAGCCGGAGTAGGGATACACGAGGTCGATTTTCTTTTGGGTTAGCTCCTACTGGTGGTGTATCCAAGAGAATGGGTTTTAGCTCTGGTTCTTCTTCTAGTGGCTCCTTTAGAATCGGGTCTTCTTCTGCTTCTGGTAATCGAAATTTAAATAGGGGTTCAAGATTTCAAGGTAATCGGGGTGGTAATATGAGATCTGGGGGTTCTCGTTTCTCTGGGAATGCTCCAGCACGTTCTTCACAGACCAGTCAAGCCCCAATTCTAAGTACAGCGAGGTCACCTTGCAATAGATGTGGTAGGGTTCATTTTGGTCGCTGCTTTGCTTGTTACAAGTGTGGAAAGTTAGGCCATTTGATCCGTGACTGCCCTGATTTACATGAGAGCTCGGACCGGAGGAACGTGATTCCTGGTAGAGTGTATACAGTATCTCAGGAGGAGGCTAGGAAGTCATCGAATCTAATCACTGGTATGGTTTCTATCTGTGGCCTCGATTTAGAAGCTTTGTTTGATTGTGGTGCGACGCATTCTTTTATTTCTGCCGAGCGCTTAGATAGAATGGCTATGCCTGTTGACCAGTTGCCCCATGATATAGAAGTTTCCTCTACTTCTGGTTTGGTTGGTCGATCCAGTGTGGTGTGTAGGACTAAGATGACTTTTAATGGGCGATCGACTTGGGTGAATATGATCAAATTACCTATGCAAGGGATTGATTTAATTATTGGTATGGATTGGTTGACAGCTTATGGTGCTGTCTTAGATTGTGTGGACTAAGACAGTGACTTTGGTAGAAGTACCGGAGGTGATCAAAGAATACCCTGGTCATTCTTGTTTTCTTTCTTCTTTACAAGTTGAAAGGTTGATTGAGCAGGGATGTGAGGCTTACGTGGTAGTGCTCGCTACCCAAGGGTCTGAGACAGGTATAGTGGATGAAATTGAGGTTGTTAGGGAGTTCCCAGAGGTGTTTTCTGAGGATGTATCAGGATTACCTCCAGAACGTGAGGTTGAATTCTCAATTGACCTGGTACCAGGGACTCAGCCAATTTCAAAGGCTCCCTATAGAATGGCTCCTTCAGAGTTAGCTGAGTTGAAGAAGCAACTTGAGGAGCTGTTAGATAAGGGATTTATTAGACCTAGTGTTTCTCCTTGGGGATCTCCTGTCTTATTTGTGAAGAAGAAGGATGGTAGTTTAAGATTGTGTATCGATTACAGGCAGTTGAATAAGGTTACGGTGAAGAACAAGTACCCACTGCCTCGCATCGATGATCTCTTAGATCAGTTGGTTGGTGCCACGATTTTCTCTAAGATTGATTTACGTTCAGGGTACCATCAGCTGAGGGTTAGTGAGAAGGATGTGGCAAAGACTGCTTTCAGGACTCGATATGGTCATTACGAGTTTTTGGTTATGCCATTCGGGCTGACTAATGCGCCTGCGGTTTTCATGGACTATATGAACCGCATTTTTCGACCTTTCTTGGATCAGTTTGTGGTAGTTTTTATTGACGATATACTGATCTACTCTAAAGATGAGGAGCAGCATGCCAGACACTTGAGGACTGTCCTAAGGTTTCTGCGAGATCATAAGCTATATGCCAAGCTCAGTAAGTGCGAGTTTTGGATGAGAGAGGTTAGGTTCTTGGGACATATCGTGTCGGCAAATGGTATTGCAGTTGATCCATATAAAGTTGAAGCAGTCATGCAATGGGAGAGACCAAAATCGATAACTGAGATCCGTAGTTTTCTGGGATTAGCAGGTTACTACCGGCGTTTTATCAAAGGTTTCTCTCAGATTTCTATGCCTTTGACTAGACTCACAAGGAAGGATAGGCCATTTATCTGGGATGATAAGTGCGAGACAGCTTTTCTTGAGTTGAAAGAAAGGTTAACAACAGCTCCAGTGTTGGTGATTTCGGATCCTCAAAAGCCCTATGATGTGTATACTGATGCCTCTCATAAGGGTCTTGGTTGTGTTCTAATGCAAGATGAGAGAGCAGTGGCATATGCATCTAGACAACTTAGACCGCATGAGGAGAATTATCCAACACATGATCTCGAGTTGGCTGCGGTGGTCTTTGCGTTAAAGATCTGGCGTCATTATCTTTATGGAACAGAGTTCAGGGTCATGAGCGACCATAAAAGTCTCAAGTACCTGGTGGATCAAAAAGAGCTGAATATGAGACAGAGACGTTGGATGGAGTTTCTTAAAGATTATAATTTTGAATTTAAGTATCATCCGGGAAAAGCAAATGTGGTAGCAGATGCTCTTAGTCGCAAGACCTTACATGTAGCCTATTTAATGGTTCGGGAGCATAGATTGATGGAATCTTTGGTTGAAACTTCTTTGGGTATGACTAAGTTCTCTTTGAATGGTCTTAATACTATGGTTATTTCTAATGAATTTTGGAAAGAGATACGAGATGCTCAGCTTCAAGATCCGATTTTGTCAAAAATAAGTCAAGACATCGAGAATGGTGAGATAATGGACTATTGGTTTAGTGATGATGGGTATGTGGTTTTCAAGGATAGGGTGTGTATTCCTAACAATGAGTCTATTCGGAAGAAATTGTTGGATGAGGCACATCGAAGTAGCTACACCCTTCATCCCGGTGCTACTAAGATGTATCATGACATGCAGCGTCATTGGTGGTGGCCAGGCATGAAAAAGGATGTCACAGAGTATGTTAGTAAGTGTTTGACCTGTCAGAAGGTCAAAATAGAGCACCAAAAGCCATCGGGGTTATTACAGCCTTTGGAGATTCCTAAATGGAAATGGGAGAGTATTTCAATGGATTTTGTAT